TCATTTTTTACGATATTCTTCAAAGTATGAAGGAAAATGCGGCAGTGTTGTCTAAATTAACGTAGATTAACGATTGGAAACTCTCAAATTAATGTTTCATGTCACGAACTCCACTTGCGGATATTTCCAATTATCAACAAAGTAAACAGCAAATCTTGAGACTAATTGCATCAAATTCCGAATGTCGCCAAACAGAAATATCAACAAAAACGAAAAGAAAAAAAGAAAATCAAATCGAATTTAATTCGACATGAATAACATTTCACAAAATACAAACAGGGAAAATCAAAATATGATACAAAGAAATTATTTCTTGCGAATGAAAACATGTTGAAACTTTATTTATAATAGCTTAAAACAAGCTTTTCAATGTCTTAGAAAAAGATCTCATCGAATTTGGCGTGTCGCCAAAGACACAAAAAAAATATTTACTTTGCAATAAAAATTTGTTGTTTTCAACATCGATTTCTGTTATTGGTCCAAAATTGTTCATTAAGTGATTCTTTCTCAAATGAAATGTGTTTTTAAAATAATCTTTTTACAGGATCTTTGTGAAAAGGCAATAAGTTAGCAAATGTTTATGACTTAAAGATCACGCATTGAAATAAATGAAAATTGAGTCATTTTCATAGAAAGGTTGACAAAAGGAAAATAAATTCTAATTCGGTAATCTCACGACATGATCAAGCATTACAGGCTAACAGGCAATTTATTTTCATTTCTAACAAGCTCAATGATTCAGATCGTGAAACTATAAATATGACATTTTTTCATAAAATAAATAATTTTCTTAATTTTTCTTTGCATTTAATTGAATGTAAGGTTGAGGTCGATTGAAGGAATCTCTACCGACTACTGAATTCCTGCTTGAAGGCTTTAAATTAGAGTTATATACGGATTGCGTGTGTCAAATGAGTATGTCACTGACATTTAACATTTTTCGTGGCTTCTACTAGACCGTGATCTTAAACATTTTATATCGCTAAATGAATCTGAACACCACGATACAAAAAGTATTCGTTCTAAAACAACAAAAATCTTTTCTAAATACTGCAATTTCTTTTTAATTATTTATAGAAAATTCATCGCGAGAATATGAAAATCTTTTATTCAGAACATTCTATTCAATGAACAAACATTAATTAGAAGAAATGATTAAAAGAGTAACAAAGCAGAAGTAAAGATTTTCACTTCTTTTGCCGCTTCACTTCAAGATTTAAGTTGAAATGTTGCAAAATTTCTTTTCTTCTTATTGTAAAATTGCCGAAGCTCTAACAATGTATCAGAGAAAAGAAAATTAATTGTCTTGATTACTTTTCTTTCTAACATTTTATGTTTTTACTTATAATTATGTCACTCATTCGTTTATCTTCAACTATGGATGAAGTTTTACGAAATTTTCTTGTTTAACATGAACTCATTTTCTTTAAAGTTCACACAAAATCGGAAGTATTTAAGTGAAAATTGCTTTAATCGCTTAACCTTTGTGTTTCTAAACTTTACACTTTTCCATTTTCTTGCAATTTGCCATTGAGAGTTATTCAGGGGAAAAATTTCCCAAAACTCCCTGAGAAACGAGGGTGAAGTTATTATTCAATAAATAATTTGAGGTCATTTCTAAGGTTGAAAGGGATGGAAAAATGTCGCTAGACCAAAATGACCAACAGAAAGTTTTCCCTAAAACATACTTGAACCTAAAGAACGTTGACACTTGTGTCCCTTTAAATACTCGACTCGAGACTAAGAGAAACTTAATTACTGCCACATTTCAATGACTTTCGAACTGAAAAGAATCAAAGAGTCGAATGGATAGAAATTGCAAAAGTGAACTCCACCACTTGAATAGTAATTAAATCATTAAAGTCATTAATGGCGCACGGGAGAAGAAAAGGGTAATTTTTATTTTTGTATTGAGTTCTGATAATTAAGATCCTTTTTTTTATAAATACAACATAACATCGCACCAAATGTGAACTGCATAAAGAAGAGAATTTTCTCGAAATGCCCCAATGATTTATCACAGACGTTTACTTTACGTTAATTAAAAAGTGTTCGCTATCTCGGATATCTGCAAAAGGTGTTAACTAAAAACAATTCGCAATCTTCTTCATCATCATTTTTTCATTTCTTCTTCATCCATGCGATTTTATTTAAATTATAAATTGTATAATACTTGAAAAGATGTTGAGTTGAATTACAAAGCTATTCATTTATTTTTCTGATTATCATGTTTCACGCATGGATCTATGTTACATGTTCAACACATTTTTTCATCTACGCATTTGATTGTGTCTCCAATTCCCTTCCCCACTCTTCAAATCTTTCGATTGGCATCTACTGTGTAGCTACTACTTATGTACACGTGAAGTGTCGTCTGAATAATGAGAAAGATTCGAACAAAGGGACAAGGCACTGAATAAATTTCAAACAACTCACGACGTGGAGATGGCAATTAAAAGGATTAATTTTTTTTTATATTTCGTTTTCATTTTCTCTTCGAATTCAACTCTCTTTTTTTTGGATGTCTCGAGATAAACATTCTCTGCAGGTTTTTATAGCTTGCATAACATTTGTTTGAACGAATACTTTCGTTATTTTGCTTTTCAAGGAGCGAGGAATTGTCGAGTTTTCCATTGGTGTGGGATGAGAGAACAAGACTCTCGTCACTCCCTTGAGTAAACAATTGAAAATGCGAGCTTTTCAAACAAAAGAAATTTAAAAACTACAATAAATTCAAAGGCTTACTTTGACTCTTTTAATTATCATCGATAACGAATTAGGAAGAAGAAAAATTCGAAATACTTGCACGAAGTTTTGTCGACAGTATTTATTTTAATTTTTTAGCAGAAATTTATCATTGCCCGTTATCGCCTTCATTTCAATCTTGATGTTTATGCAATTTATGTTTCAATATTGATTTTTCAATTGTTATGAGTCAACTTGCTTTCCTCTCCCAAAACAAAAAATGCATAAAAATGCCATTTGCCTATAATTTGATAAATAAGAATAAAAAAGTAATTTCGTGAGTGATTGTATCGATAACAAAAACCTACATTGAATTATATTATAATCACGAACATTGAGCTTCGCCTAGTTAAGTTGACGTTAAAAATGAATCGATCGAAAGTTACATGAATGCTATTATAAAAAAAGGATAAGGTGACGGTCAACCAACCGTTCCAAAGAGACGATAGAAGTGGCAACAAACGACAGCAAAAGCTATCAGTAGATTTATTCATAATTCATCAGAAATTTTCATTCGTCACCGAGCACAAACAAGGGAAAATCGGATTTCCGCTTTTCTCCCTTCAAAAGGATTTTTCCCTGTGAAAATTTTACTCCTTTCAAGCGTGAATCTTTTTACGGATATTCGTTCAACAATCGGAATATTCCAATAATTATTGCCAGTTTTGAAGTAGTACAAGCGTCATTCGTGTGGAAAGTGGGTTGAAATTGAAATCGGGATGAGATGAATAAGCGAAGAAAGGTAATTTTGCGATGTGGCACATTTGATAAAAAAAACTTTTTGCGACGACATGAAGCGACATTCTTCGAGGTTTTTGAGGAAAACAATAATTTGTCATCATGCCTTTTTGATTTTCATTGAAAAGTGGTTTGCTTTGTATTGCCAGCATCGCTTTGAATATTCATTTGAAGCTGAAAGTTTATCAGGCAAAGTCTGAACATGTTTCGAACTATTCCAATAAATCATTCAACAAGGAAAGTTTTTCATTCTGCTGTTTGCCACTCCTGTTGCGTTTACTATGAAAATCTGTAGAAGATCCATTTCAACTCAATCACGTATTCGCAATTCATAAGCTCTGCTTTTGATATCAATAACACTCACACAAAGCGTTCCTTCAAATAATGAAATTTTCCAATTATTAGTTTTGCCTGAAGCATTAACTTCTGTTTTCCTCCCACTACACTCGATTTTTTCTCTTCTTTTATTTTCGATTTCCTCGTTATTTACTGTGGAATTCAATGAAAGGTAAAAAATCAAAATCGCTTTGTGGATTTATGCTTTATAAAATTTCTCAAACATTGAAAAGTCTTTTGAGGATTTTATTAGATTTTTTTTCTCATACACAAAAGAATAAAATTCAATTATTAAAAATTTTGTATCGCTCGTTATTCAATTGATCGAAAATCAAACATTCTCTCATGTCAAACTCTTGTCAAATGGCAAATTAATAACTCTTGTTGTCCCTTTCATCAATAAATAAAAAATTCTCCTACGTTACAACATGAAATGTTAAAAAACGAGTGAATATATGCAAATCTAATGGAGTGCGGTGAAAGATTGAATGCATTGATTGTGCAGCATACGGTTTAATGCTACAAACAAACGTTTTATCACATGTTTTCCTGTTTCCATTTTCTAACACGATACCAAACATATCAACAAAAAATTATTCACTTTCAAACTGCTGTTTTTGCGGATCTTTTCATCGGATAAATGTGCCGCATCGAGTGTAAATATTCGAACAATTCTATTGCATTTTCCCACTCATAATGAAACTTTTACGATTCCCTTTCACGTTCACTTTTTTCTCTGAGAAGATTTTTTTACTGTGATAGATTTTTATGGCATTTCGAACTGCAGAAGCATTCGATGGGATGAAGTTTGGCATAAATGTTCAAATAACAGGTTGCAATAAACCTTTTTTTTTATTATTCTCGTGTTACTCGTTCATTCAATACGTTTTCGGTTTTTTTTGGGGTTTACAATGAATGCGATTTGCAATCAACAACGTCATAAAAGCATCCGAATAGAAAGGACTCACAATGAAATTATTGGAATTTAATTGCTTTTGATATTGTTGAATGCATATGTTGGTTTAAAATCTCTTTTTTTACTCGTGTTAAAATTGCTGTTGTTCGTGTCTATCACAGAAACATTTGAGGTCAAGTCACAGAAGCATTTAATGGCTTTCGACATTTGATCTCAACCCCAAATATTAGTTAGTGAGTGACATGATGCACAGCATTGGAGTTGATTAAAAATATGAAATATGGAGATCGATTGACTCACCTTTCTTCGGTATCAATGACTTTAGAAGCATCACCGCTTGATCATCACAGGCCCAAGCATGCATCTTACGATAGCTATCACGACCCTTTTCTGTCAACTTATCCCAAGGCTTTGGCTTCGACAACAGCTCTGAAACAGTTCCTTGTGACAATCCCAACACATATTTGGCAAACAAACGTTGGCCAATATTATGAACCGATAACAATTCACGAACACGTCGCGAAATGTGAAGCGTGTCGAGATTTTGATTTGCATATTTATCCATGTTGTAGCGAAGCATTTCCTGCAGACGCGCCTCCATTGGGTCACCTTTAGGTATCAGTGAATCGCCCAAGCGTCCTATCATTGCACCAGGAGGTAGATTAAGGTCTTCAGCGAATTTAAAATGATTATTACCTCGTTCACCAAATGGATTGAACTGTAATGGGTTGAAGGGACCAGAACCGTTGTGCATTAATGGATGATTGTCCTCAGAGGGACTCTTGGATATTGGCGGCAATGACATAGGCGTTGTAACGCCCCCACGACTATTCAAATTATCTTCTGAACGTGCGTCTTGAAGGTTCGGAGTACTTGCCGTCGATGATGCGTCGTGATGACTACTTTTATCGACGTCCTGACCAGATTGTGTGTGGTGATTTTGATTCTGGTTTAAGCAATCTGCGAAATTTGGAAAGTGATTAATCATTCGATTTTGCATCGATGTGGTCAATTTCGAGAGTGTTGAAGGTGCGTTGGAAGCGGTCGAGCTGATTGGTGATGGTGGTGGTAAATCAATAAAGGAAGAATGTCGCCAATTATTAACAATTTCTTCGCCCAACATCGAGCTGAATTGCTCAACATTTTGAAGGGGTGGCGGTAAAAGTGACGATGGCGTTGATGCTGGACGTGTTTCGGTTTGATTTAACTTGATATTATTATTGTTATTCAATTTATTACTGATATTCTTGAGTTGTTGGATTGGCGTAAGGATATCATGAAAGCTATTATTAATATTGTATTTATTATTGTTATTATTAAGATTATTAACAGATGACACTGCCGTTCCTGCGAAACAGATATACACAATTTGTAAGGAAATGGACAAGAATTCATTCATTTTTATATTCATTAAGGGAATGTTTATAATTGATAAAGTTAAAAAAACGAATTTCTACAAGCAGGAAATTATTTAACAGTGAATTGAAAGAAGTTTAAAAGATACTCAAAAGCTTTCTGATTCAAATATTTCTTCGCCCGAGCTTCACAAGATTCGATTTATAAGAGACAGCTGTCGGTTTTATTTTAAGTCAAACTGACACAAATAATGTTAGAGATATAAAATAAAATGTAAAAAAAAGTAATTATAATTAATAAATTTATTAACTGCTGTATGAAATATTTCTGCTTGACTGTCTTTTGTTTCTGTTTAAAACCTCGTGTCGCTCGGGTTTTATTATTGAGTAAGAAATGAGCATTAATCAAACAATAATAAATTGTCTTCACAAAGAAGATTTTCTCTTGATTGAAATCAAAGCAATGACAAACAAGACACGATCTACTTTTAAGTCTGATTTACATTATTGAGTGACGCAATGAATAGATATGAGATTCAGGTGTAAGAGTGAGAGGGAAAGAGAAAAATATTTTCTCTTCAAAACAATAAAAGCATTGTTGGATTCAATGAAAAGCAATTCTATTTAATGAGAATGGAAAACTTCGAATTTGGTAATGTTAATGCTTTACTTTACTTAAATTAAAAGAAAATTTTTAAAGTGAAAAATGTAGTAAATGCTTATTGGATGTGAAATTAAAAATAATTGGCGACTGTGAATGCACTCAACTTAATTAAAATGACATAAAAAAAATTATGATGAAATGCAAAGATAGAAAGAGAGAAAAATTGTGGGGGAGGTAAAGAAAGTTTTTTTTTGTAGTTAGGAAACTTACCATCAGTGCTTGATGATTTCAGTACTTCATTTTGTGCAGCAAATGCCTTTGTACGTTCTAATAAAAGTTCTTGGAATTGTTTCGAATCAGTCGTTGTTGTCGATAAATCAACAGATCTTAAAATACTGCAAGTAAAAATAGGAAATTTATGTAAACATAAAAACTAAAATCATTGTTTCATTTCGGAACCAATTCAAGTCATGTGTGCATAACGAAAGGGCATTTTGCATTCTCTGGCGGTTCATTTTCAGAGTGCAATAAAAGACGAAACAATATCCATTAAGATGTTGGAGATTTTATTGCCGTATAGTAAAAGATAAACTTTGATTCTATTTTCCTCCTTTCAAGTCTAAATTGTTGCGCAGAACTTAAAGAGTCCCGAAAGAGATGACTTTGTAACTTTTCTTGAACCGATCCGAAGCAAATATTTACCACTGAAGGCAATAAATGCGTTTTCGTTTTCAGTATTGTTGTAAATACATAAACTCAAAATGTGTTAATTGTCCAAGAGCGATGCTGACTTTCAGAACTTACCTATTTTCTTTTTTCATATCATCATTATCGCTTTTGCCTATTCTATTCTCTAAACGGATAATGTGCTGTCGTTTTGCATCCAAGCTCTCCTCCAATCGCTGTATTTGTACGTTGTGTGACTCTTGAAGTGCCTGAATCGCTGTTCGTAATCGTGCAATTTCTTCGATCAGCAGTGATATCTAGAAAAGAGAACAAAAAGAAAATAAAAATTAGTTTTCTTTCATTCAATTCATAATTTCAAACCCTTTTCTGTCGATTTTCTCTAGAAATTCTATAAATTACTTTTCAACATGAAAGACGCAAATTAATAAATATTTCGAGGATAAATCAATGCGGGAGACGTGCTTTCGTTTCAAATCTCTCCTTCCAATTACTTTCAAGCTTCATTGTGAGAAACCAAACAACCATAAAAAACAATTCGATTCTGGATCTTGATTCATTAATTTTCATTTGTTTGCTGGCGGCAAATATTAGGAGATTTTAATGTTTTCTCTCGTATTTAACATAAATTTTATTGAGAAGTATAAGAACAAGAAGTAGGAGAGAAAGGCTTCCATCTTCACATTCATTGAACAGAGATTTCATGTCTTTTTAATAAATAAAATGAAAACAATAAATCAAAATATCTTTGGGGAGCTGTGTCTGCTTCCACCCACTCCCATTCCCTTTCATAGAGATTTATTCATCAATTTCATAATACGATAGAATGATAGAATGGAGAAAGGGTTGGAGATGTTCCAATATCTTGATATTTTCTCTTTTTCTACTTACTTAATAAATGTTAAAATTCAATCGTGCCATATTTGAAAAATCTAATTTTTGAAACAGACAAAAACCTTCGTTCAACCCTTTCACTCTCACATTTTCCACCCTCACACCATTGACAATGACAATTCGACATTCAGAAAATTTACAACAAGACGAAGTAAAAGATGAGCAACAGAAAAATACTTTTTTGGCACTCAATCAAGATATGAAAGTTTGTGGAGACTGGAAATGGTAAAATGAACATTCTTCAGGGTTTTCCATCACATCAAGTGAACTTCAATCATCGCCAACTTGAATTGTTCACTTACCAACCCTGAAATTCATATTGAAAATCAAAAATCTTTGAATGTTTTTTGTTATTCATTTTTCGAAATAATTTTTGTGTAGTTGTTATGCGGGGGAGGGAGAACTCAAATTTGGGGCTGACTAAAAGAAAGGTGAGACGAAGGAAACGATGAGCAGAAGCTCAAGAGCATCATGATTTTAATAAAATTTATCAGAGATTTTTCAACAGTGAAAATATTTATAAATTTTAAAAGCAAAAGTTTTTTTTTTGCCTGATATTTTTGGAAAATTTTCTATTGAATGAGAAATGAGATGAGACGAGATTGAGGTGGTAGGAGAAACGAGAATGATTTTTGACTTTGATTAAAATACGTTTTGATTAGATATTTCATCTTGTGGAGATTCTTTATCCATCCAAATATTTATATAACTTGATAAACCGACTGAATAAAAATTTCGTTTTATAATTTTGTAGTTTTTAAGGCTTCATTTCAATTGATGTTTAATTAAACTTTTCTTCGAAGGCTTACGAAATATGATAAATAAATAAATGCTTGTTAGAACGAGAATATTTCGACTTTGAATCGGATGATATCATTGAATGAAAAGACCACAACTTTAATTATTTTATGTAATGCAGTGAGGTTAAAGCGTAGTTTGATTATCAACAAAAGGCAAAAATAGCACTAAAGAGAATGAAACACGAAAAAGCACATATGGATGACAGATGAAATGATACTTTCTCATGTTTGGTATCGAGAAGTTTGAGATTCGATGAGACAGTCATAAAAAAGAGATGAGCAGTCGATATCATTCACGCGCACTTCCACTGACCATTGTTCAGGGGATAATCTTGCTATTGAAACTTTAGCATTTATGCGAGAATTAATATTTATAGCGAACAAAGAGATATGAGAAAGCAAAAACATGTCGATTTGAATGTGTAGCATTGTGTGATATAGAAAAATCATTTATTAATATTTATTGACGTCATGTGCTTCCTGTCAGTTGAGAAATCGAACATAGAAATCATCATACCACATGTTGTATAAATCCATCTCGCTTCTCCCCACTTAATCTCATAAAGCCGAGAGAAAAAAACTTTCCCTTCGAATCTATTTAAGCATTCCAACTGATATAGTTTTTTGGGGGAGAAAAATTTCATATTTTTAATCCAATTTCCATGAATATAAAATTTTATAGTTTTCACGAAAATCTTTCACTTGATTGTGTGAGAAATTTTCATTTTCGAGACGCTTCAGAATGCTGATGAATTTACATGTTGACTAACAGACATTTCATCATAATTTAATATTCTGACTAAAGGAGATTCGAGATGATAAAAAGTCCACATTTTAATATGCAGAATCAATTTTCTTTTTCTGCTTCTTCGTCTCCATCATCCGTAATAATTTAAATCCATAAAATTTCCTCGAATATTTACATAAAAGGATAGATAGTCAAGTACACCAATCGGTGATTTTTGAAACGATGGACATAAATTTCCTTAACATCAATTTGAGAGAAGAAAAAAAATCTAAAAAGGTTGAAAGTTGATTCTTTATGAAAATCCTCGGCAGTTGTGGGGTTGGTAGGTAGGCACATCACAGTAGATGAATCCGGACAAAAAATATATATAATTTATCCTTTTTTATTAACGAATTCTATTATCTTTCATTTGTTAGGTTTTGTTTGGTTATTAATTTGATTTTACGTTCGTTGAATCCCTTTTTTCAACTCAAACCTATCTGCTATCATCATCATGAGAGTGAAACAGTTCTTTTGAGATGTGAGGCAAAAGGCAGCAACGATTTATTATTTATCTGCGGTATTTGGCTGTCAAACATATAAATAAATGAAAATTCTGAGTTGAAACTTTTTCTCTCCTCTCTATCTCCGATGCCTTAAATATAAATATAAAAAAAAGGTTTTTTTGTATCTGCTGTTCATGTATTGGCCATTGGAGATATGTTTATGCGAACGCAGGCAGAAAAAAAAACAAGAACACAGCACTTTCCGGAGAAATGGTCACATTTTTATTATCTCAAGCTATATCCATGCTCATTCTAATAATTTTCCGCCATCCACGAATCCTACGCTCTTCCGAAATTAATATTTTACAGCAACAATGTTTAAGGATCGGTGCCTCTCCATCCCGTTTGAATATTATAATAATTTTTTGTCATACATGAATTCGTCGTAGCCATGCCACTCTTTTTATGATGAATAAATTTATGTTTTGTAGATTAAAGAAATGAAGGCAAAGGCAAGCAAAAAAATCTTTTCGGACATGAAAGTATAAAGTGGGATGAGATGGTGAAAAAAGAGTTAAAAAGTTGCCCGATGATCAGGAGAATTTTACATTTAAATCTAGAATAGCAGCAAACATATCTTTAAGTTTGACCATTTCAAGGAAATTATCAAAATTAGGGACATGTAAAAAGGGCTTTCTCTATGTATATCGATGTGATTAATTGAGATACGGATACGAAGAATAGAAACAAAGGACATGAAATATTTCCAATTTTTATTTTGAGTGCTTTCTCGACCAGCCAACAGAGAAGTCTTTTATGTGACGAATATTAATGTTTATTCCTTTCACAAACGATAGAAATTATTTGTCATTAACTGTTTGAAAAGTTGGAAGTGTGGGATGATGATTAGCTGTAAAAGGTTCTTTCTCAAGATTATTCAATGATGACTCTTCAGTTGACTGACCCACATTCGTGATGAAACAAAAATTTAGTTTTTTGGAGATGAAACATCAATTTTCGATTGCGATTATCGTTTGATTTATGACATGCTGATCGCTAATGTTAGATAATTTTAAACAGAACTTTTTCTGTTTGACAAATTTATATTTGTTAATAATTGGAAACACATTTTGTTGGATGTCGATGCATCAGAAAAATACTTCAAGTTATGTCATCTGAACAACTTTGTTGTCTGAGAGTTGATTTCGTTTTTAGCATCAGATAAAGGGTTGGAATTGTATCAACTTCATTTAAAAATCAATGATTGAAGATATTTCTAACATTGGAATATTCCACGATATCAAACCTAACATGTTGAGAAATTGTCTCATTGTTGATTCGTGTACTTGCCGCATAGCATCTGCCTTTAATTGATTAATTTTGCCTAATTATTTTAAATGAGTTTTCGTCATTGAGTGATTCCGTGTTCATTGCTTTTCCGCTTTTCTCTATCGTGATTTATTCAAATCAAAAGGATTATTTGATTTTCTAGCAAATATTTGCATAATTTTTGAATTTTTCTTACGATTAACGAAAGTTTTAATTTTTCCCCGAAAGCCAAAAAATGAATTTAGAGAAAAGTTAGTCTCGATGAAAATATTTTTCCGCTTCAAGTAAATCGGTGAATGAACGGGAATGTGTACAAACATCATTACGCTTTCGAATTACCCCCGCAACCACAACCAATACGACATGAAGCAATTTCATAAAATTTCCAAACAGTTTTTCTGTTTCTGACGTCGAAATTTTATAATTATTTTAAAACAAATAAATTTACATATCTGAATGATTTTTCCTTTCGTTTTGTTCAACTCCGCTTGTTGAAAGAAGACGAGAAGACATTAAACAATATTTTGATCATTATTTTTATCAACAACGCAATTGTTTCAACATCAGTTCGATGTCTGTTCACCCATTACAACACACTCCACACACATAAGATAAACTTTTTACTCGATTTTTCAATTTCTGTCTTTTGCTATCTAATTCATGTATCGTCGTACACCCCATCTGAGCACCCTAATTAAGGGATTAAAAATGTAAAATATGGCAGATCTTTTGATTTCGATAGAAAAACATGGAAAATGGGATGAAGACAAAGAATGCCGTATTAATCTTCAATCCAAATGTCATTGATTTTTGATATTCTCCCTCGTTGTTTCTTTTCCGGGAGAAAATATTTCCAACGACATCGGCATTGACAGCAGCTCATTTGTAAAGCATGAAAATTTTTTCGTGTTTTTAATTTCTCCCCCTCAACATGATCTTAAAAAATTATTTTTTCAAAAATATTACGAAAAAAAAATTAGACAAAGTATTGACGAAATAGCAACATTAAAGTTTGAGTTTTTCTTTTTGACATTCTCTAATCAATGAAGACGGAATATTGCTGACTGGGGAGACACGAGTTAGTCACGAGTGCTGGGCTTGAATGATAAAATGTAATGCAAGGAATCACAAGCAGTTTTTAAATTTAACCCTTTTTCTTTGATTTCTCACCCTTCAAAGAATTGGAAAATTTTCATCACAAAGTCGTTGTCTTATTTGAATTTTAAAACAGGGTAAGAACTAAAGATAGGCCGATGCCTCTAACTCTATCTTACTTTACTTCTCATTAGTCTTAACCCAAGCTGAAAATTCTGTTCAAACAATTTTCTGTATCTAATTTTTGAAGGAGTTTTAATGTGTTTTACGTCGTTAAAGAATGAGTGGGTGGCTTCAGAAATTTGCGTGGATTAATTTTAATGTATTGAATTTGAATCAACCAATCTATAAATTAAAGTCGCAAAAAAGGATTGTGAAGGTGGAGATTGTGCTTAAAAAATTGCTGTCGACAAAAGTTTTGTATTTTGAAAATTTAGGGGAAAAAGGAAAAAACTTTTCTATCGAGACAGATAATTACACATAATGTTGTCGTTACGTTATCCTCTTTTCTACTTCAACTTTGAGGAATTAAATCAGGGAAAAAGTGTGTACGAGCGAACGTAATGGCATTTTATACTTTGCGTCGAAATTTTATTCCTCCCTCCATTGAAGAGTTTGAAGAAAAATCATACAAAACAGCACTTGATAAATTTTATGTTCTTTGCTTTCGCAGAAATTATATTGACAGATGATATGATGAACAAACACATACACACAAACATTGATACTCGTTATTCATGCCTCTCCATTTATTATAAAAACCTCCTTACGTTCATTCTACAAATGAGAGAAAAGAAGAAACATTTCATTTCATAAAGCATACATTCGGAGATATTTTTAAAATTTAACCCTTTCATTTAAATCATCAGAAAAAAGCTACTTAATTCAAACACACAAAAAAAAAAGAAAATACATGAACAGTTGAAAAAGATTGCCTTCGAAATACATCAGTCACAGGGCGAAAAGGAAACAAAAAAAAAACTTTTACGTATTCGAATATATTTTTCAAACATCATAAAAAGAAGAGAGAAATGAAATATTATTTTATGTTATTGAATATGGAATTATGTTTGTGATATGCCGGGGAGTAATTCCTTTTTAGGAGTGGGGATGATTGTTTTTACAATCAGAGAAGAGGAAGAGAGAAAGTTGTGGCGTGGGTGGTAAAGCAGATGGATGTTTGAGGTAAAGGAAAGGGTAATGAACGGGTTGAAGGCAAGGTTCTTCCTGATCGCTTCACGCTGGCAGATATGATATGACAAACATGCTCGTCACGTCAAACGATGTATGATGTTGAGAAGGAGTTGAATAAGCGAGTTTAAAGAAAACATAAACAATATAAAAATTAATATTCAGCCGAAAAAAAAATTATGCTTCATCAATTTTCGCCCCCAAGACAACATCACATGACTTTTTTGTGAATGTTTGATGAGAATGATAATTGGAAAATTTTGTGAAAAGTTATCAAACAACATCTCCAACCCTCTTCGATGCTTGAAGAATTTAATGACTGTAGAATTTTTACTCATTTTTCAATGTACGTTAAATTGGTCTTTTGAGATTTGATGAAGATGCGAGGAAAACGTGAATAAATCTCAAATGTGAAACGACATATTGTAGGAGTAGATACGCTTACATGGCACATTCTCGAAATAAAATATGCTCAGTCTTATGTTCCTTTTAAACGGATTAAAAAATTTTCTTCTCCTTGTTTAAAAAAGACGAGGAAAAAAGCGAAAATTTAAAATGCAAATGAAAAATATTATTCCAAATCATATTTGCATATCAATTACGAAGGAAAACATATAAACGTGAATATTTGTATAACGAATGGATGTGAAGAAAGCAATCTAAAAATGAAATTAATCTAATGAAAGCCGCGAAAAGTTTTCCATTCTATTGATTCAAATTTGTCATAACAAAAGATTTCATTGCGTGCATGTGCATCATACTTATAGCAGAGCAGTCAAGGCTTATTGCATTTCCTAAGAAATGTCATAAATTTCCCTGATAAATGACAATAAAAGCATTTTAAATTACAATATTCTCGCAAAACATTGAATATTAAGCTTAAGTCATACATGCGGTAAAAGTTAAAGAAGAAAAGTTTTTGTTTCCTTTCCAATATTTTGCTGTTTGCTGTTTACGTATATAAAGCAATAAAGGTACGAGAAAGTTTCGCCAATAACTTATAGTTTTCTTGGATATAATTCAATAAGACGTCAATTATATTTTGCATAAGAATGTTGCATGTTGAAATGCAGTTGGTGACATTCATGTACATTCAACACAGAATAGAAGGAAAAATCGAAGGTAAACATTGAACGCAATTGCATTTACATCGTTCTAGTTTAGTTTTCATTGTGCATTGGAAATTGCAGTTGACGATGTTATAAGTTTGATACCAAACTTTTCTGCTTAAGCATGCGATTTTTAAATAAATCAAAAATCACTCCGGAAATAAGAAAAAGCTCAAAATAAATCGAACATTATCAACTACAAATTCATAATCGAAGAAATAATAAAAAATTGTGTAATTTGTCGTAACTTTCATGTTTGCAAGTCTTCGCTTCATGAAGCACAGGAGACATGGTTGACAGTTCAATGAAATTGAATTAAACGGGAAAGACAATTATGATAAAAATTGTAATGAATCGAAAATAAAAACAAAAAATTCATTCAAGGCTTCGTTAGAAAGTTTTGTTTCGTTTGCATTTGGAATGCAATAACGTTTAGTTTATCTAAGCAAGAATGTAAAATGTAAATAGAACAAAATTATGAGGCCAAAGTATGTATTCAATGCAGTGATTCAACAGCTTTATCATTGGCGCCGTATGTTTACAACCAAACGATATCATAATTGTAATTAAACAAAAGATTTTTTTTACGATAATTAATGGCGTTGCCAATAAAGTGTCTTGCTTCGTTTGTAAGCAATGAAAAGCCTCGCGTAAACATCGCTCTGTGTATTTAGATGAAAATCGAGTCTCGCACGGCAATAGCAAAGCTCTAAGGTGCAGAAACACATTTAAATTTTGTAGTCAAATGATTTACGTGATTTCTACTGTTTACAGCAATAAACCGTCAAAACTTTTATTTGCTCAAATATTCTCTTGAAAAAAAAAGAAGAACATTCTGTTTTGAGGAATGAATTTGACTAACAAATCATAAATCTGAATTTTGATATCTCATTAAAGACTTGACTACTACATCACTTCACGCAATTGTCTATTTACGTTTCTCTCTGCTGGCATGGATGGAGTCGTCTTATCAGACAGCAGAGTGATAAAAACTAAGCAATCAGAATAAAATATTCGAATATTCCCACAACAGACAACACTAAACCAGTGATTGTATTTGTCCAACTCCGATATAAAAAATCAAGGTGATAAGAAGGTGGTGTCGTTATTATTTCATCAACGACTTAAACGTCTTCCATTTTATAAATATTTTCGACGACGACGCCTGAAATTAGGCACGTTTAATCAGACTTGGATGAAATTTATTTACAATTGTTTATCATTTGATTAAGTTGTTCGCTTCTCCCGCTGTTCACACAAAGCCATCATGTGATGATGAAGATGAGAGTCGAATGAGAATGTCGTGTATCGAAACGTAATTAGAAGATGAATGTAATCAATCATTAGTATTCATCATGAACGAGTTTTCATTAAGTTTAAGTGCTGGAAATTTGAAAAAGCTTTATGTTTGACTGATAAAAGAATTTTACGACTTTCGTTCGCGTTTGTTCATCGAATATTGATTATATTCAAAAATATTGTCTTCAATTTTCCCTCCGCTTTTGACATAAAACTTTACGATGAAAACTTTTATTTGTGAAAAAAGAAAAATTTAAGCAACAACGAATGTTAATCAAGTTTTCCGAATAATTAAAAGTCGAATGCTTAGCTTTGCGTCTTTCATTTCATTATCGAAAGTTTAAGACTCAGATGAAACTTGCTTGGATTAACGTTCATTATTCAATAGCAAACAAGAAAATTCTTCTCAATTTTGAGTCCTCTTTTTATGTATAATTGATTTTAATTCAATTTGAGAATTATAGTCTTAAACATCTCTTTGAAATGAGACAAATAGAAAGCAGTTAATGTAGCGAATGATTGGATAATTTTCCATTTTCTATTCCAATTTTTGTTGATAGTCTAACAGGAAATGTGGGTCAACGATTGATTCACCACAAAAATTTATTTTCAACATTTTTTTTTCCCCGTCAACTTGTCGACTTATCATGAACTCATTGCTTTGTTTAATTGAATAATTAAAGACACTTTATTTTCAGCATACAAATTGACAATTTTTTTTATCATCCAGTGAGGGTTCGAGTGATTTTTATTTTATTTTTATATTTCTATTCCGATTGGGGTCGCGCGGTGGAAATAAAAATCTCATTTAAATGCAATGTATCGAAAGCGTGACAGAATTTTAATTTTTTTTTCTGCCGCTTTCTCCTTGAAAAGTTATCTATCGCCAGGAAAACGGGAATAAAATTAATTCCAGCTCGTTTCTTATTAATTGATGGATATCAGAAACAGCAAATAAGATTGAGGGCTTTTTAATTGCTTCGGATTACAGTGAGCGGAAAACATTTCAATTTTCATGACTTTTTTAAGTGTCATGCGGGGGGACGTAAGATTGCTTCGTTAAGTGAAGTTACACGGTCGAAAAGCAAATAATCTTATCAATGGAAATGAGGTTAAAGACTTAGTGATTGCAAAAGGGAAAGCAAATGGAAATTTTTTTCCAGGACAGTCAATATCATGAAAAAAAGGCAAGAGAAGTAACAATTTCGATGTCGTCAGTGAGCGTGCTATGTGCAATCACTCGAATTATCTTTGCAGTCATCAACATTTAGCAAACGAAGCTTGACAGACTCGTATCATTTCACTGTCTCTTCTTTCTTCTCCCATCCTCCCCATATAAACGGAAACGATTCTTCCTTTGGTTTTCGTCTTCTGGCCCATTCGATAATTAAATCAAAATACACTTCAATTATAAATTAAATGAAGATTTAGTCTCGATTTTATGGCTTCCAATTTCTTCCTCTTCATTCGTATCTCCAATTTCCCCCCACAAAAGTCATGGCTTGCGAAACGCAATTTTTATAATTCTTTTTACGTCTCATCAACTTTATTTGACGATCAAAAAATCTTCTTTTCTTATTACATCGTCTTGCACATTTTTCGGGAAGATTTTTTCGAAGCATTTCTTTGCGGTTAAAGAGTCTGTGACTAATTAAATTCAGAAACTCATCTTCGAATGAATGTTGTGAGTTTTGTTTTGTAAGAACAGCGAAAATATTTATGCAAAATGTACATCAAAAAACCGAAATTAAAAGTTCAAAGAAATCAAAATTTTTTTTTTTTCGGATGGTTTTCTTTTTTTCAACAAATGCATTTCGAGTTGATTGCAACATGTGCGCACTTAAAGCATAACTTTGCTTCCAATTCTTTTATTTTTATCAATTTTTTTATGCAATTCTTGGAAAATCATGGAAATGATTTAGATTATATGTAAGATATGCTTCTTCGACCTAAAATAAGTTCAGATTCAATTAAAAATGAGAAGATGTTCGTTCGAGAGTGCCGAAAACTGAGACCTCAGTCACATCTCATTTCATACAAGGTTAATTAAATTTTCCGTATGCTCACAAATAATTTCTTAGATCTGCTGTAGAAATTAATGGAAAAAGTTTAATTTATTACTTTTTTTGACTCAAAACGATATCAAAATGCATCTATGGGAGTGCATCATGAAATGTCTCGAGAAAAAAAAAACTTTTCCATATGCCATTTTGCGATTTCTTTCAATTTTTGCAGAACGTTTTTTTATTCGTTCTTTGAAAACATAATTTATTGCATCCGCTTTTGTTTTGAATCATTCATATTGAGCGTCTTGAATTTTTATTCTTTTTTATGTGGTTTATGGGAGACGACAAGTGTTACGCTACATCTAATCGATTTAAATGTGTGTTGATTCCAAGAACAAACTGTTCATGTTCAAAGATGAAAGTAGACAAGTGAGTGTTTTCCTCTTTATATGAAACTGTGATAAATCGATGTCAAGAAATTTCCATACAGCTTCTTTCATAATTAATTCGACACCCTTTACTTCATCTTATAGTGCTTTGCATAAGTTGAAGAAGGGATCGGAAAACTATTATTTTCACTTCATTAACACAACTTAAGCCCAAGGAAGGAATTGATGTTCAATGATGTATAACATCATGATTTTCAAATAAAGAAATAAATGGGATGGGAATGAACGAAGAAATGTTGAAATCATCCAAAAAAAGAAAAGTTTTGAAACTCTCACACCCTTTTTAAAAAAATAAGAAATTGAATCTATCATGTGAATAAACAATAACAAAAACAACTGCATGGGACAAAAATATTATTGAGACGAACGAGAAGAAAACACATAAATCTTAACATTAACTCATCGTTTATACAACTCGTATACCGTTTGTCGATTTGAAAATAAGGAAACAATCAATTTAGAATTTATTTATAAAGAAGATTCGAGTAGCTGCTGTCTCATGATTTATCCATTGACGGAGTTTGGAATATAAAGTGTTCTCGCAATCAGAAATACTCCATTGGCAAATCCCTATAAACTATGAAAGTTTGAAAACATGCTTTCTAAGAGCTCTTGAAATGCTATTGAGGCGTGATAAAGAAGAAGTTTTTGAAATTACTGTTTATGGAGAGAAGAACTTTAGTCGAAAGACATGCGACAGAAGTTCAGAAAATATCCAAATTCAAATTTATAGAGAATAAATAGTGAAAATTCTATCGTCGTAAACTGGTTATTAATAAAATTGAATCCTAAGAAGATATGTAGAAGTAAGACAACGAAATTACGTACGATGGAAAATATCTAAATGGAATTTCCCTTAAAATTTCTCTCGAAGCGATACAGTCGAAGAAGCAATTTCAATTTATTAAAAAATATAAATCACTTTTGATTCCACACGTGAAGTAATCTTCAGATTTCCGAGACAACGTACGACTAACTTTGAGTATTGAAGTGAGAAAAGAGAAGCTTTTGACATGATTAGATGATAAATCGATCATAATTCATTACAGTTTGATGTGTAAATAAATCGCTGTCGAAAATAGTTTATTTCCTATTAATATAAAGTGTTTACGTTTCTTGACAAGTCTCCAGGGAAAGAAGGTATTAAACGTAGTGTGGGAGTGATACGAAAGGTAAATTCATTAATATTAAGTGATTTGGATGTAAATCTCAATGTCAGATGAAATGATTTTAGCAGAGAAAGTGTCGCTAAGAAATTATTCCACCTTCAATGACTGTTGAACTTTGTGAGTTGTGGGTGGTTGACATCTCATCCCTTATCGATAGATTAAACATTAAATATGGAACAAACCATGGGAAACATATCAAAGACTCTCTAGTCTGATTAATGTTTCAATCTAATTTAACCCATATCTATTTCGAGTTTTGTTTGATGAAGGTTTGATGGGAAGTTTTGTCGTAGTTAAGTTTTTCTTTTTTTGGCATCATTAATTTTACCATTGACTGTTAGCTCAAATCACAAGTCGAATAATACAAGTTCTGAATTAATCATTTGAAAAGTTCGCCTCGAGCTTCATCGAATAAAAAAAATTAAAAACAAGCGAAAAGTAAAAATAATCATCGAAAATTTAAATTGTAACCTTCGGGGCAAATATTGATAATTAGAAATATAATCTGTGTGTATACAAGATTTTTCGATGAGCTGAGCTTGGGGGCTTTCAATCATTCTTCCTTCTCCCTCCCTCCTTGCCTTCACTTCAAGAGAAATGACGGAAACATTCTTCGCACTGCTATCAATATGATAATTTTCTCATCATAAAACTTTTTCTTGTCGATGCCGAATTTTTCGACTTTTTAATGCGGGGGAGGGAAAAGTTTTTCTTTTGATAATATTTTTTCGATCAAATATACTTTGCTGACAGGCTAATCGATATATTTACAGTAATTTCAGTCATAGATACTCTTGAGAAAATATTCACCCGAAGCTTCTGATAAAATTGCTTTCTTACCTGTAACGAAAAAAGAAAAAGAAATGTTAAAAATGAACTGACTTGACACGAAATTTAAGACTATGTAAGAACAAGAAATTCACCTGTTTTGTTACAATTTCAATGAACCCTCAACGGGTAAACTTTCCCACATGTCAGAATAAAATTAAAAAAAAAAGATGATGACAAACAATGAATGAAGAGACATAAATGAAATAAAATTGTCGTTGCAATCATAACTTTTATGTAATGATCGGTCGATCAAAAACATACAGCAATTTCTTTGTTACGAATTTATTATTTTTTCTGTTTTCAAATTCATTGAATCGAGACGAACGGTGAATCAATTTGTTAATTATATTTTATGTAGATGCGACCGGCTATGATGGGTTACCCGATTCAACGGTTCACATCGGAATTTGCAAACAAATAGAATTCGCAGAATTATTTAATAAAAAATGTTAAGGAGAGGAAACGTTTGCCATTTCATTATGTCAGCAAAAGATTGACGACATGAAAGCGACAGTCAAAGCCAGTGGAATTTAGTCATCTTCAAATCATCCGTTACGGTTTGTCAAACTAGTTAATGAGTTAATAGTATTTTTCTCGATTTCGAATAATCATAACAACAAAAACTAACTCTAAAGAGAAAGAGAGAGAGGAAAATAAATATTATTTTAACTACCGAATACGTTGACTAGCTTCTACTGTTTTTATTTACGTCGATAGTTGGGAAATAATGAACCAGAAAGCAGAAGCGAACAACAATGGTAACCTATTTACAGTTCATTGATTTCACGGATCATGCAATCATCATCATCCCGTGTGTGTGTTTATTTCTACTTCTCTACCTGTCTTCACTTATTTTTTGCTTTGTAATGCGGTTGTTGATGATGTATAAAGGGTGGCACTTGTTTCTGTTCTTTTAATTCAATTTATTTCTTAAAAAGCGCTCAAACAAACATATGACTAACTTCAGCATGCGACAAGCAAAAACAATTCACCAACCGATCACTCACAATCGCAAACTAATATTGAAAGCGGGAATATTTTAACGAGAATGATTTTCGGAAGAGCATAAATAGCGAAATTGATGAAATTCTTATCAATGGATGTAAAGAATTGATTGCAGCAAAATTTTTTTTCTTCTGCTTTTTTTTTCGGCAATGCTCGTTCGACTTTTATTGACACAATTAACAGAATAAACATTCACCATTAAGATTCGTCAGCGTGTCAAATCGAATCGAAAATGTTCGTGAAATTATCAATTTAATATTCGGAAATGTCTGATTAAGCTAGATGGAGCAATGCAAGATTGTTGTCTGCGATAGACATGTGCGATACATAGATGAAGCAAATGGTTGAAACTGCGACATTAACCATTAAGTTAAGGTTGATTGTCAATCATCATTTTGTTGTAATCTAATCAACAATTGACTTCATCAACGCACAATCCCTAACCTTGAAATATTCCGGGTATTCATTGAAACTCTGTCTTTTGTCGATTGATAATGCTACTTAAAAGTCAAATTCAATACGTAATCTTCGAGTTTATGATTTATTTTCTCATCGCCAATGTGAACGAGAAAAATTTTGTCGATTATCAGTTTAATAAATTTAAATTGAAGGCGATTATCTTCTGAAGCTTCGAGGTTTTTTTTTACTGATGATGGAAAAAACATTGAATGTTGTCTATTCATGATAGAATTAAATTGACAATTGCCACGGAGAGATTTTGTAAGACTTCCAAATTATCATCTTCGATCGATCGCTTCCATCTCATGCTGGTATTGTTCAAAGACACGCAAGGCTTTGCTTCTAAATTGAAATTTAATTTAAAGGCAAATATAATTGGAGAAGAATGTGCGAGCGAGTTCATATGCGAAGCGATATTGAATTAAAATTTCGTGAATGAAATTGATTAATTGGATTACTTCTATCAGCATATTTATTGGGGTTTGATGAAGAACTTTATTAAATTACATTTTTCGATCCGCTATGAGTTGATTCTGTCGATCACTTTCGAAATTTTAATTTTCCGTTGAAGGCCTAACTTGAACTCAACACATTACACGACTCTTCACAGCCGCGTAGTATTTTTTTTTGTTTTGTTCCAAAAATAAAGTAATCGATGCGGGCACTCAATATTCTGGCGGGAGGAAATAAAGTTGTTTCTTCTCGACACTCTTCTTATTATTATTTCTTTTTCCTTTGTATTTTATAATTGTTATTGAAATTTAAATTTTTATTACGATTGTTGAATTGCTTCGTCATGAGAAATGTGTGCGAACGCGGCATTAGTGATGATGATGATGATGGGCTTAAATGCTCTCTTGAGAAAGAGTTGAAACAGCTGAATATGATGAAAGTGGCATTCAGAACTGCACACTTTGTTTTCTCTCTGCATTTGTTTTTAGTTCTTCGCTCGTATTAAAAGAATAAAAGAAGTTTTTTCCTGCAACATTTGTCATATGATTGAATGGAAAGTATCGCTTTTGTGCCATTAAAAAGAAAAACTGCGGGAAATTTTTCTTTCCGATACACATGACTAGCTCAACAATCTCTAAACGATGACAATTCTCTCTTTTCCCTGCAAATTTTCCATTTATGTATCTTCTTTTCAACTCAAAATATCGTTTTTTATTTATGCTCACTAAAGCAAATAATGGTGAAATTTATGCTTCATATTTGTATACATATTAATAATTGAAAATCGAAAAAGAATATCCTAATATTTCATAAGTTTGTCGAGAAAAAAATGTTCATAAAAAAGTTTAGTAACAAAAGAAACACGAACGACATTCATGAAAGATGCTTTTGTGAAAGAATTATGAGCATTTACTTCTCATATGATGTACGAAGTAACTGTTATTATTATTTTTGATTTGACAAAATTGATTCATGTTTAGAAAACACGCAGAATCTTCTCAAGTGACAAATGAAATTAAAGTGAAGATCACAGAATTATTCGAAAAACATCCACGTCGTGTAATGAGTACTTAAGAGTACAAGAGAAAGGTGAATACGATTGTTGTTGTTTTTATAAGTGCCTACGTAGTAATAGAAATAAGAAGATGAACTCGAAATGTTTCAGCAATGATGAAGAAGAAGTGAAAATGAAAAGTAATTCATTGGCTCACGCTAATTCAAACAGACTTGCGCTTAGCCACAACTTTGTATGAGCATCGTTGGTTCAGGGGTAGAATGTTCGCCTGC